ATTTTGCATACATAAGAATACATTTCAAACTTTTTATACTTTTTTATAAGCACATTGGTACATTTTTTTATACAATCTAATGTGATTTGTCATTGTGTGTTTTCTAATTCCTCAGAATATCTTTTATCCAAAATTATACAACTATTTAAATATCTCTTGACATCTTTATTACAGTTAGAGACTTATTTATGAAGACAGGAACTAATTACTTCTAGATACACAGTAGTGTTTCCTTATTGTGTTTTGGATCACCCTCTTTTTTGCCCCCCTTCCCTTATTTAAGTTATGCAGTTTTGCAGAGAATGTTAGCTCAGATCTTTAAATGATCTTTTCCTCCTTTCTTTAGATGGAGTACCATTTTTTCCCTTGTATCTATAGCTGTACTTTTTCAACAGTGTTCTCAAACATTCTTATAACAAATTCCTTCAATCAAAATCTCATCCTTCCTTAGCAACTAGTACAAATTACTCCCCCTGCTTCAGTGATCCATTTGTAAAATACAAGGTTGACCACATTAACACTGATGAATCAAAGCTGCAGGGGAGTGATGTGGTGGTGCCGAGAACTTTCTCCAGGACGATGTCTTGTTCTGTTTCATAAATGTGCATATGTGGAAGGCTTAGCCCTCGCTGTCTGAGATCAAAGATTGGGCTGCCTGGGTTTGAATTTTGGCTCTAGCTCTTATTAGCCTTATAACCTCAGGCTCGTTACTTAGCTTCTCTAGTCATAACTTTTATTTTCGCTGAAAGCTTTAAAATGTGCTTACTGTATGCCAGGCATTTTCTAAGTGCTATATATGGATTAACTCCTAATCTCCACAACTGCTCTAAAGTAGCCTCATTTTACATGTGGAGAAATGAAGCTCAGACAAGCTCAGTAATTGGGACAAGCTAGGAAGTAGCGGGCCAGGCATAACAGGAAGTTTGTAATAAGTGTTTCAGCCTGCTTTTTGGCTCTTGTATTTTCCTGCCTCCCCATCTCCCCCTTTTCCTGGCACCTCTTCCCATTCTGCCCCATTCTCTTCCCTTTTCTTCTCTCACTTCCCCACCGCCCTCTCCTCTATCTTATATTCTTACCAGCATCTGTGTACACGTCTAGGCATACTTTCTAAATATATCAGCCTCCCGGGGCGCCTGGGTGGCTTAGTCGGTTAAGCGTCCGACTTTCGGTTAGGTCGTGATCTCGCGGTTCGAGCCCCACGTCGGGCTCTGTGCTGACTGCCAGCACAGAGCCTGGAGCCTGTTTCAGTCTGTGACTCCCTCTCTCTCTGACCCTCCCCTGCTCACGCTGTCTCTCTCTCTCTCTCCTGGAAATAAATAAAACATTAAAAAAAAATGTTTAAATATATCAGCCTCCCTGTTGACTATTACATGTGATGGGTCTTTAGCTCATTAATTAATCTCAGCTCCTTTTGAACTCTGAATTTTGTCATTAGTGAGTGGCCAAGTACGATAACAGTTAATTAAACGTAAAAATCAAAGGAGCCCATACCATGTGTGGAGCATTGGGAGCACCTTTCAGTACCAGCCGGCCAGTGCCAGTGAAGTGAGGATACCAGGATGGCGTGTGCTTGTCTGACCGATGACAACAATGAGCAGAGGTGTGGTCAATGAGACAGAATTCCATATACCCTTGGTCACTTGCTGTGAGCAATCAGTCCCTAGAGAGTTGTGAAAATAATCTTCCCATGTAAACTTTTATATCATAACATCACGCCTCTACATCTGTGAAGTGTCATCCCCAGTAAGTGTCTCTTCAGAATGCTGAAGTACCATGGCAACGGTGCCTCAGAAATGTGAGATGGGCTTTTAATTGCTCCTGTCCAAAAGCACATTTCAGGAAGTTTCAAAAACTACTATATGATGAGGAAAGTTTACAATTATCGTAGTCATCTCAGGATGTACGCCAGGTGTATTTTTGGCATGAGCCTTCTTAGAAAGAAGAATCCTTGTTCATTTCTAAAGCATGCATGTTGTAGTAGACAAAATTGTATTAAAGTTAATCAAAGTTAGTTATCCTTTATCAATATAAGTTTGTTTTCCTGTTAATATCTTATATGAAAATGTAAGTAAATCTTTATGATTGCCTTCCTTCATGATTCATAGTGTACAATAAAAAGAGATCTTATCCTCTTTAAAATTCTATATCCTAAGGGCCTAAGGGGACAGCTGCCTGTGTGTATCAGTTTTTATTTTTCATTTTTATTTATTGTCAAAATCAATATGATATTTGGAAACTGGCAAATTGATTCTAGATATCTCAGGGACTAAAATTTGTAGAGCAATATAAGTCAGTCTTATGAGGGAGTTGGATGATTTCATACTGCTCAGAACCAGAGGCCTAAGTTTAAATGCCTTCTTTACATGGTGAAGTAGCCATACATACAAAATTCACTTGACTTCTTGGATCTCGGTTCCTTACAAAGGATGATGAGGATATTGGAGGAATGATTCCTTTTATCTTTACTAGCAATACCTCAATCCTTGCTGGCTGCTCTAAAGAATACCATAGATTGGGTGTCTTATAAACATCAGCACTTACTTCTCACAGTTTTGGAGGCTGGGAAGTCAAGATCAAGGTTCAGGGTATGATGAGATCTACTCCCTCATTCACAGATGGCTGTCTTCTCACTGAGTCCTCCAGAGAGCTGGGGTTCTTTTACAAGGGCACGAATCCCATTCACAAGGCTGCCACCCTTCTGACCTAATCACCTCCTAAAGGCCTCACCACCCTGTAACATCATATTAAGGGTTAAGATTTCAACGTACACATTTGAGAGGTACACAAACATTCAGAACCTAGCAAGCACTAATAATGTTCTATGATCTGTATGAGTCTAGTTGTATAGGTGGTTGAATGTTGGTTGATGGAGGTATTTTAATGAAACTTTTATCAGTGAATTTTTGAAACAGGAAAAGCAATGAAGAAAGAGGCAGTGGGGTATTTTTCGTCTTCATATGGGTAGGGTAAAACGTATTTACCTAAATACATATAAAAAAGTTGAAAGTAATGGATGTGGTGGTAGAGACAGGTTTACAGGAAAATGTTGAAACCAGGCAGGTGACTGAAAACTTAGGTACTTTCCAATTCTGCCTTATTCTGAAATAAACTATTGTCTCTTATATATGCTTCATGTTCAGTGAATATTTCTGGAATCAATTGGTGTAACAGTTTTATTAAATACCAAAAATTTTAATAGTTAACCATTGTTGGTTAACGAGAACAAAAAGGAAACAAAACTCAGCACTTTATGCAGCAGACCAGTGTGGTAGAACTTCTTACTGTTTGTCCTAGGAAGGTCTATGACTCTTAAGAAGAGTTGGTCTAACACAGATTAGTAAGATTAGGCTAGATCTAAGAAGTAATATTTCCAATTAAGTTAAAACCTTGAAAAAAATGTATGAGAGAACAAGGTTAGTATTGTTTTTTTTTGTATTCATCTCTATTCATTTTTAATTTTTTAACATGTATTTATTTTTGAGAGAGAGAGAGACAGTGAGTCATCAGGGGAGGGACAGAGAGAGAGGGAGAGACACAGAATCCGTAAGCTGTCCGCACAGAGCCCAACGTGGGGCTCGAGCCACAAACTGTGAGATCATGACCTGAGCTGAAGTCTGATGCTTAACTGACTGACTGAGCCACCCAGGCGCCCCTCATCTTTATTAATTTTATCCTGAGTGCATATACACGGTGTTCTGAGCCCAGTTTTCTTATTATCTCTGTCCCCATTGCTCTAATTCTTACGCGTTGGCCCTGCAGTGACTTCCTGGTCCATTGTCCTGTGCCTGTGGCTGCACACCACAGACGTGAAAGAGGAGGAAGTATGATTTTTTCCCCTAAATTTATTAAGTGGGTTGTAGCAGCTTCCTTCTCCTCTCTTGCAAGAGTCTCTGTAGAGATTTGATGACCCGGAATCCTTAGTCCCACCCCACTGGTATGTCAGTAAAATCTCTCTAGGGGCCGGATAGGAGCCTCCATGTCTTGGTTTTTATGACCTTAAAAGGTTGCCAAAGTCCTGGGGTGTCAACTCTTTTGACATACAATACTTAGCGAAATAAAACTTGAGTCTCCATTTAGCTAGAGAACTAGTCCATTATGTAGCAACTTGGCCCTCTTGAAAAGACACATAGAAGTTTTATTATTCTTTTGAATCAGAACAATTAGATAAATGTCTACAGACCTAATTCTCATGGTGCGTGAAAAGAAGAATATTTCTGGAAGATGAAAGTAAACGTTAACCTTCTTTATATATATATATTTTTAGAGACTCAGGAGGCTAGGGCTTTTTGTTGGAGCACTGAGAAATCCAAGGATGCTTAATTTTTCCACAGTTGGGTGTTGTAAATGGGAAGAAAATCTACCAGGTCATGCAAATGTTTTATATAAAAATGGTTATGGATGGCTTATGTATGTAGAGTGAGATAGGCTTTCTGGATGAGTTCTGAAAAAGTATAAATGTTAGAGAAGAGAAATAAGATTATTATGATGTAAGTAGAAATTTCCACTTTGGAGAATTTTCTCCCTCTCTCTAGTAACTGTGACTTGCATAGCATTTGAAACTTGTCTAGAAGACTCCTGTTTCTGGTAATATGTCAAAAGGGTATTTGGAAAATGTCTTTGAACTGATTCCTGCTCTACAGGAAATGTCTAATTTTCCTCCTCATCTGTTTATATTTATTGAAGTTCTAAACTTGTGTGAGGGCACAATAATGTAAAAGTTTGTATATATTGTAGAAAATAATATATAAAGATTATGAATCTTAATGTTAGGGTTTTAGGACTGGGAGTTTTTTAAACTAGCAATCTTCTTTAATCTCGATCTACCTTTTCAAGCAGGATAAATATTTGACAGTGTGACTAAGTTGATTAATTATGTAGAGTTACTCATAATCATACTATATAGAAACCAAGAGCATAAGACATCCTATTGGCATAGTTTTTCAAGGATAACAAACAAGTAGTCTTAATTAGTTGACTTACTTGGAACTCTTTCTTTTCAGCTTTTTGCCTGAATTCATCAGTGGAGACTTTGATTCTGTTAGGCCTGAAGTTAAAGAATATTATGCGGTTAAGGTAAACTCTAAACATGTTTATATTTAAGATCTCATATGATTGCTTTTCCTGTGTTTTTTTCTCATATCCTTGGCATATGCATAGGGGTTTACAAACAAAAAGTATAGTAATTGTAATACACATTTAAATAGAAATTTAGAAAATGACAAGTAGAAACATAGTTTTAGAAATTGTCACAACCAGGTATTCATTAATGATTAGTCCTTTAAGCATATATATTTTAAATGAGTTTATCATTTATGTAGGCTCATTTAATAATAGGCTCATTTAATACTTTGGCCTACAACCTCATTAGTTAATAATATTTTTCATGAATCATTTTTAATTTCCTTTAATGAGTGCACTAAATTTAATTTAACCAGTTCCCAGTTGATTTATATTTAAGTTTTGTCCATTTTTTTGCATGGTAAACTAATAGAAACATCCTTGTAAAATGAGTTTTCGTAAAAATGCATAATTACATGTTCCCTGAATTTGAGAACCAGAGTTTTTGAGAACCAGTTTTTTTTCTGTAATATTTAGTTTTCTTGGAACTATTATTACTTTGTTCTGAAGAAAACTATTCATTACAATTTGAAAATTAATAATGACCTGCAGCTTATTAAGGTGTTTATTTTATCACTCCTATTGTACAGATATTCCAGAGATTCTTGCCAGTTAAGAGGAACTTATAAATGATCTAATTGAGAATGAAAGTAGACACATAGGAGTGTATTACAGTAATTGACAATTTGAGCTTTCGCTGGTTTTAGAGGACAACGCGGAGTTTTTAAAATAAAAATTATAGCCTCAGCAATTCTTTCTGCCACACACACCACCATCTGTGTTATTCTTAAGTGGCCTTAGCCAGTCATGCATATTTGTAAACAAACAGCAGTTACTGACACAAAAACTAAAATTCTTTATAAGGCTTGGGGATGGATGAGATAAATTCAGAAATAAGAAGGGGAGGAAACCTTTCATAGGAAGGAAAGAAAGAAAGAGGGAGGAAGGGAAGGAAAGAAGAGGAAAAAAGAAAAGAAAAAAAAAAGAAAACCTGATTGCAGATGGGGAAACAAAAGTAGCAAGGTTATAATGCATTGGCTGTCGTGATCAGGAATTTCTGGGGCTGACTGCAAATGCAGATCTGTGCATGTTCTCTCTGCCCACCAGCTGATCAGACTCTCCATCAGCAAATGAAGACTGTTCCCAAGTCAGTGTTTGATATTCATGCTCAATTACTTTAACATTGGCATCTTTCTATTCATTCCCCGGTCTCACTTCTCATTAACTCCATACCTCAACCTCATTGGGATGGAAAGCCCTCAGACTTGCTTACAATGCAGAGTTTTATAAATTCATAGATATTAATCATATTTTCAGAAGCAGAAGAAACAGCAGGAGAGGCAGGGACAAGCCGACATAGAAAGACGTTGAAGATCTGGCCAGATGTGGTTTTCCTCCCCTTCTCTGCCATGCTGCTGGCTTGTCATAACTGAAAATGTCAATCTGACGATGTCTATCCAGGATGGGGGAAATAACAGGAAATAAGGGGAAGCCAGTGTCTTAATTCCTAAATGCAGTCAAAGATAAAGGAAAGTTCTGAGTTACTACTGTTTGATGAATTTCTCTTATATTTCCTTCTTCAAATTTTTTTTCACTTCAAAGCTAATATGTATTTGTTAAGATTTCATTTTTAAAGTGAGAATAGCTCATTTTCTAATTCCTTCATTGCGTAGTTAACAAACTGGTTTAGTACAATCCAGTTTTTTCAAGTATCGATGGGAACTCACTTCTGATCTGTTCCCAGAGGACACCAGCAATGTCTATTATGTAGCTAATGTGCCCTGTACAACACATGGTGAGTGTTTAGCTACAGTTTTAATAATGATGCTAATGACAAGTTAATGCAGCATCTCACACAGTTCCTATAAGCCATTATCTCCAATTGAAGCAATATTGAAGCTGCTCTTTTACAAACGAAAGAAGGTTATCTCTGCTTTCAGATACTTTCTCCCCCTCCCACCTGATCTGGGTTTTCAGTGAAGCTGAAACTGGGTGCAGCTCTAATAGAGACAGTAAAAAAAGAAATTTAGGACGCTGAAGGTTTGTTACAATTATAAAATGCATTTTGTAGCCAACATTTATTCACACAGTTTCCCCCCCAGTAGATAGGTCTTTGACTTATGGAAAGACTGAGGTTTACATGATTATATAAAATTTGAAATTGCTTTGCCTGCTTTACTTCTGATAACCTAAAATATAAAGTATTTGACTTGTCAGCCTTTAAACAATATTTTATATCCCAGATCTTGCCATCTTTATCAGTTCTCTGTTGTTGTGGAATAAATTATCCTGAAATTTAGCAGTTTAGAACAGCAAACCATTTTTATCTCACACACTGTCTCCAGGTGAGGAGTATGGAAGTCAGCTAAGTTGGTGCTTCTGGCTCAAGGCTTCTCATGAGGTTATAATGTAGCTGGGATTTTCAGTCATCTCAAGGCTCTACTGGGGCTACAGAACTCTCTTTTAAGATCATTTAAAGGTTGTCGATTGGTCTCACTGGCTGTTATTTCTGGTTATTGATTGGAGGCATCAGTTTTTTGCCATTGGGCTGCTCACAACATGGCAGTGAGAAGGGAAGTGAGAAGGGAAGAACATACTGAGCCTGCCCAAGATAGAAGTACTATCTTTTTAATGACCGAACTTCAGCAGTGATACACCATCATACCATCTCTTCTGCCAGGTGCTGTTAGTCACACAGACCAGCTGTGGTGCAGTTTGGGATCAGACTCCACAAGGTTGTCGAAACCAGACGGCAGAACCCTTGGTAGCCATCTTGGAAGCTGGTTACCACACCATCTGACTGACTTTGTTCTCATAAAGCCTGCGTGTTAGGCAGTGAGAAAGTTGTTTTAATTGTGTCATAATACATTCTTGGTCTTTAATTAGTAATGTTTAAGAAAGAAGAAGAAAACACAGAATTCTTTAGAATTCTCTCTTTGATTCTTTACATGCATGACTTGCTTCAAGCAAAGTTACATTCAGCAACCCAGACACTAGTCTTTATGTTCATAGCCCTTAATTATTTATCCCTTGGGGATTTAGACAAGTAGGGGGCAAGCTCTGGTCCATCACTTAATTCCATATGGCCCATAGGAATGCATATGATATGCGTATCTTAATTTATTCCATAAAGCTTTCCTCTTCAGAAAGAGCTATAAAATCTTTGTGTTTCTCCTTTTGCCTATTTGACTCAGTTCTTCCCTGCGTGGGTCATGAATATTAGCTCAAAATGAGGAATGTCTTTTATAGATTTTCCCCTTGGTATTTTTGTTTATTACTTTCTGACTCAGTCCGTGTGCCTTGACTGAAGGCCAGAATCACCTCTTTCAGCCTTCTTAATTATCCACTCAGTCTTGGCCACATTTATTTTAGTTTCCTGAGAACTTTTGAAGAAGCTGTTATCTCCTATACCTCCTGATACGCTTTGATTGACATGTAGTCTGTGGGGCCTTCACTGGATATAGGAAGGGGGATTTTCAAGGATGCTTTCTTCATATTCAGGAGATTAAGGAACTAGTTGTGGTATTTTAAATGCCTTAAAAAGCCACAGAATAACAAGGTTTTTCCAGATATGTAGGTGTGTAGGATAGAAGAAAATCTATGGCAAATATAATGATAAAACTGCACAATAGTTTAGAACACAATAAAAAATTAAGCAGTGTGATGTAGCCCAGTTTCCTGATGAAAAAAAAAACAGGCCCATAGCGTTTAAATAACTCAAAAGAAAATGGCAGAAAAATGTCTAGTCTTGGGTCAATATCCGTGTTTTCTATAAAAAACTGAGACTCAGCTACTACTGTAGGTTGTCAGCACACTGTATCTTTGGCCTGTTGGGCAAGTTGGTCACACAAGGTATTTAATATCCATTGGAAAGGATGCCAGCGTCACAGTCACTGTGTAACAGTCAGGGTGTTCACATTTCTATCATGTCACTCACTCCTGCCCTCGACTCTGAGGTGGCAGTAGTTGGGCCAGACCAGAAATAACCAAACAAACTGATAAATTATTAAGTTACATAAAAGCCCCAAACAGGACATAGGATTGAATCAAGATAGAATATTGAAGAACCAAGTGGATTTGGTAATAGAAAATTAGCAAGGGTGTGCGTAGCCTGTGAGTATCTGTATGTTTTCCTTTGCGCTACAAATGAGTATTTTGGCATTCCGGAAAGTGTTGTTATAAACAGAAGACCACGATTCAGACCCTTTGGTGACAATGACGCTAGTTCTGTCAGGAATCCGACTCTAGGTCCACGTTCTGATTTTGTCTTCTCTGTTAATCCCTCCAAGTCCTGAAATGACACAATATGGTATCGAATAGTGATCAGAAATATGCAGCCTGGTGTAGGCCAAAACCCCTAGTAAAACTGCAGTTACAAAAGTAAGAATTGATTGAAACGATACAATGAGCCCTGGTGTATGTGATGAAATGAGGCTAATAGGAAGGTTGAGTTGATGCTAAACCACCAATTTTCCATTACAGACATAACACGACTATTGTTCTAGACTACTCTGAATTTACCAGCACCATAAATTCAGAAGTAGACCTAGAGATCCAGGCATATTGTCTCCTTGGCTTTCATTATATCTTTCTCAAAATTGAGAAAGATAAGTTTTTTTTTTAGGCAAATAAATGAATTATTGAAGAATATCTTGTATTAAATCAATTTTTAATGTTTATTTATTTATTTTCAGGGAGACAGAGACAGCACAGGTGGGGATGGGGCAGAGAGAGATAGAGACAGAGAGAATCCCAAGCAGGCATCATGCCATCAGCACAGAGCCTGACACGGGGCTCGAACACACAAGCTGTGAGATCATGAACTCAGCCAAAGCCAGATGCCCAACCGCTGAGCCACCCAGGCATGCTTAAATCAGTATTGTTGATGTTTGCCCATGGTCCTCTAGCACCAGCATGGCCATGCCCAAACTTTTGAAGACTACTCTTGAAAGACA